CCGCCTTCTCCTGCTCCTCCTCCTCCTCCTCCTCCTCCTCCTCCTACTACTACTACTACTACTACAATTCCTTCTCTTCTTCCTTTTTCTTTTTTTCTCTCTTCTCATTATTCTCTTCCTTCTTCTTATCATCGTTCTACTTCTATCGTTTACTATACTATTTACATTCCTCTTTTCTGTGTATTTTTCGTTTTTCTTTTCCATTCGTTTTACCTTATGGGATACAGAACTTTTCTGTAGTCATTCTGTAGTCTTCCTTTTGCTTTTTGTGTTCCTCGTGCAGAAGTTTATAACAGAAAATTTCCCGATTTCACTGACTGTAGATAGTATATGAGGAAATATAGAATTTACAATGATTCAACCTTCCATTTGATTTTACTGCTACAAAGTATGTATGAACTAAACAATTTATTTCATTTCATAAAATAGCTGAAATATCTGAATTGGATCAGGTCTATGCAGTTCTATATTGAGTATATTTCTCGTGACATTTTAGATTAAAATCTCTCCTCGATTCTTGGTTCATACGTATATGTATTCAAATTTATATATATAATGTCGATTAAGATAGTTTAGTTGATATATTTTTTAAGAATACAAAGAAATTTATATATTTCTAATAGATTATATTCATCAGTTTTGTTATATGAAGCACTTATTCGTAGATTTGCAGGCAGTACTCGTTCACTTATAATAATGCATTTATAAGCGACATGTTGACTGAATTAAATTTACGTGTACCAAGATAACTTATATTTTTCTGACCGGAAAATTCATAACTTGTTGAGTGGGGCGATATTGAAAATACGACAGTATTCAAGCGTAATATTTAGCTTAAAATCTTGAATGGAAACTTGATAATTTTTGCAACAAGCGCATTGTATCTTACAGAACTGATCAAGAAAAAAACACCTACTTGAGAAAGATAAACCTCGTTCAAATCTTACATGTTTCGCATTGACCAAAGACATGAAGGAAATTAACGTTAAAGCAGCGGCTTCCGATTGTCATTTCGAAAGTTGGGGGAAAGAAGAATAAGTGAAATGATACCTATTGTGTAAGTTTGTCGTTAATCGCGTCGCGGTAAATTATCTCAAGTAATACATGTACATACAAAAAGAAATTTCGACAGGAAGGTGGTACAATGCACAACACACCGTTTTAGTGGTAAGATGCAATGGTGATTGGTGGATAAACCGCTGGCCTATATATCTCTTTTGTACCTCGCGACTTGGCGCGGGTCAGTTCGGCGCGACCCCCGATAAAACGGTACCGTCCCTGGGGGCACATGACGATACCGGATTTCCTACCAGAGATACTGTGTATTCCCGTCTACACAACTACCGCTAAACTATTGATGTCACTATCGATATGCTCGTACTTTTCCATCTTTTCTATCATGGCAATCTACTAATTGATATCATTACGTGTGTGTGTGCGTGTGTGTGTGTATTGGAGCTGGATCTAAAAAATATTAAGCAAATAAAAAATATTTCAGACAAAAGTTGTTTAAATTAATTAGTGGAAAACAATAATATAGTAAAAATAGAGATATCTCTATTTAAAAAATTTGGCTTGGGCCTTACCGGAGCCCATCACGGGCCTCGGATCTAAAATTTAATAATATTGGCCCCTTCTGAACCATACAACTTTCATCTGGCACATTTTTTTCATCAACTCTTTTTATAAGTTATTCGACCGTACTGTTTTAAATAGAACACACTGTATATGCACACATATGAACACCTGCCAACGAACATAGCTTGAGATTAACTACGCAATTCTTATGTTCGCATGTCGGTATAGAGATTTCTTAAAAGTACATACAATGTCTCAAGGCTTCTGTTCCTATTCTTGAAAGTATATCTGCGTCAACTTCCCTTTGCTGTACATACGGCCGCATCAGTAATGCTTAAAGATTTACGTTGAACACGTGCATGCCAACGCAATGCACCAATGTTTCTTATGCATCTCGCGTAACAAGACAACAGAACTTTTTACACGATATAAGGAATTACGTTCGTCTTTTTAAGATTATTAAGTGAGGATTTTCAATGAAACGATGGTATTAGGAATATCAAATGTTAAATAGAGAGGACGCATAACATTGATTTTGAATTAACGTTGAATATTCGATACGCAAAAAGCTTGGAAGGTTTGCTCTAAATATGAATAATGCATCCATAGCTACGTGTAGAGAAGCAGGCGGATAAAATGGCAATAACATCTTTTCTGACATGTTACAACGTGCTTTCTCGTTATTTTTACTTCTCTCTTTCATTCTTCTTCCCGTGTTGCTATTTATTACAATACGAATTAGTCGAGGAGATTCTGTCGAGGTCGTTTGTGAATATGGATACAGATTCGATGGAATCACCCGTTTATTATGCGATTTCTAGATTCGCGTTAACTGCAAAAAGAACGAATCCGCATGATGTGGCCTGACCACAAGAATCAAAACAAATCTACGGAAAATTTAACCCGAGTGAAAAATCATGAAATTTATGTATTGTACGTGCACGCGCGTACACACACGCGCGCGCACGAGTGTCGTAATAGCCATATATTTGTCGTATCTATAGAATTTTATACAATCTATAGGAAAGAATGTTGTGTATATGTGTTCTTGTGTTTGAAATCCATGTTTTTTGAATCCTTACCTACGTCTAGGCCCGATAGACTGAGATTATACGGGACAATCGAAACCACGAAAAAGTGACGCTGATTGTGAGACGAAACCGCAAACACCCTTAATAATTTTAGAACAGAAGCATGTCTGCCAAAGTATATCAATAGTTTGTCCTTGGCTGTGTTCAGGCAAGAAAGCCTGTAAATTTCTAGTAAATACATTTCATCCTATTCGTCTTCCTTTCTTTTCTCGTGGTGAGTCCTTTCGTTGAAAGTAACATCGTGCCGTGTAAAGGCAACCATTCGCTGACTGCGGTCAGCGAGCGAAGCGAGACTGAATATATCGTTGTTTTGCCATGTCTGCCGGCAGTCTAGACTCGCCGAGTCCTCAAGTCCGGCCATCCGACGTCACCGAATGGAAGAGACTTTTAGGGCGGCGCGAAACGTCCACGAAACGTCCACGAAATGTCGTGTTTTGTGACCGGCAAGCAGGTAGACGCGGATTCGAACCGGTAACTTGTGCTCAGACCTTATAGACCTCAGACCTCAGACCTCAGACCTTAGACTTCAGACCAGTTAGGTTTCATTTAAGTTTGGTTTCATTTTACGCAAAATTCCACGCGCACTTTGTGCTTTATGCACGACTGATATTTTGCGGTACGTATATGCGGGTGGATTCACGCATGGAGTCGTATTAAAAATTCTTTCAATCTTTCTTATCTAGATTATTCCTTATTTTATGTTTTATATATTAAATTAATATATTCTCACTCGATGATTATATCTATATATTTTTACGCGAGGGGCACGCATTTCTTCTGAGCTTCACTAATAACTTTATTAGTAGTCCGAGTAGTTGATAATTTGAGAGGAGGAAGAAACATTAAAAAGAAAGACGTTAGGATATCTAGCCAAGACAGCATAGCATATACCGTTGGAAAATTTGTGTTAAATATAACATAAATCACATGTCCCAAACGGTCCACTCAAATTTTTGTGTTAATTTAACATAACATGGATGTGTTAAATGGTAACACCGATACTTCGTTAAAATATTTTAACAGAAAGGAAATGTTATTCTGATCGTAATTTAAGGTTAATTATGTGTACAATTAACATAACTTTTATGTCGAAGTAAGATTTTGAAATAAAATCAACACTTTTTTCTGTAAATTTTTATTCCCACTTTTGTTATAGAGTAAAATCAACACTCTTTTTCTGTAAATTTTGACACATTTAATAAACACGTTCAACGTGTGTTACTTTAACATATTTTTTAAATAATTTTAATAATTTTACATTTTAAATTTGCAAAGTTCACGTAACATAGGAGGCATATGTTAAATCTACACATGTATGTGTTGATTATTTTACACAAAAATTTTAACAAGGTCCTTTTTTAACAAAACTACAAAAATTTTTGCAACAGTGTAACTTTCCAGCTGCATCCGCGACGCACCTGCTGTCTCAGATAGACTTTTCAAGAAGCCCAAACCGCACCGCACCGTTTCTCGTGCCGTTTTTTATTAATTGTTCTTGCTGCCACATTCAAACGTCCTCCACACTCCATAGTTCCTTCCTATCTCTTTCTTCTTTTTTTTCCGCTTATTTTTCTTTTAAGATAAAACAATCGTAGCCTGCTGCGCGTATTTTACAACATTGCACAAAATGTTTAAATCTACTCCATGTATAGACTTTTAAGTGTAAAATGTATGAAAGAGCTTATTTTCTGTTACTCAAAGGAAATTTTCTAGTTTATCTTTATCTTGTATCTTGTATCTGGTATAGCTTATTTGAACATTATTTCCGAAAACTGTTGATTACTGTTAGATGCCATCTTCCT